TCTTTTGGCAGTCCATGGCACTTTCAGTATTCTCCTCCAACACCATAACTCAAATGCATCAATTCTTCTACAATCTTCCTTATTCACTGTCCAGCTTTTGCATCCATATGAGGCTATTGAAAACACCATGGCCTGGGTCAGGCGCACCTTAGTCCTCAAGCTGACATCTCTGCTTTTCAATACTTTAAAAAAAAATTCCTGTGCAGCAGATTTGCCCAGTGCAATACGTCGTCTGATCTCTTGACTGCTGCTTCCATTAGTGTTGATAGTTGATCCAAGAAGAATGAAGTCCTTGACAACTTCAGTCTTTTCTCCATTGATAAGAATGTTGTTTATTGGTCCAGTGGTGAGGATTTTTGTTTTCTTGACATTGAGATGTAATCCATATCGAAGGCTGTGCTCTTTGATCTTCATAAGTAAATGTTTCAAGTCCTCTTCACTTTCAGCAAGCAAGGTTGTACCATCTGCATATCGCAGGTTGTTAATGAGTCTTCCTCCAATCCTGATGCCACGTTTTTCTTCATAGAACCCAGCTTCTTGTATTATTTGCTCAGCATACAGGTTGAATAAGTATGGTGAAAGAATACAACCCTGTCTCACACCTTTCCCAATTTTAAAACATTCAGTGTTCGCATGTTCTGTTCGAACAACTGCTTCTTGGTCTAGGTACAGATTTCTCAGAAGTACAATTAAGTGTTCTGGAATACTCATACTTCTCAATGTTGTCCATAGCTTGTCATGATCCACACAATCGAAAGCCTTTGCGTAGTCAATAAAGCACAGGTAAACATCCTTCTGGTATTCTCTGCTTTCAGCCAAGATCCATCGGACATCTGCAATGATATCTCTCATTCACGGCCTCTTCTGAATCCAGCTTGAACCTCTGGAAGTTCTCTGTCAGTGTATGATTGTAGCCATTTCTGTATTACCTTTAGCAAAACTTTACTCGCTTGAGATATCAAAGAGATTGTCCGATGATTTCCGCATTCTGTTGGGTCACCTCTCTTTGGAATGGGCATAAATATTGATCTCTTCCAATCAGTCAGCCAGATAGTTGTCTTCCAAATTTCTTGGCAGAGATGAGTGAGTGAGTGCCTCTTGTGCTGCCTCACTTTCTTGAAAGATAACAGATCACTAATGCCTAGGATATCAATGTTTATTCATTTCATTTCATTTTTGACAATTTCTAATAGTCCTAGATCCATACTCATACATTCCATGTTATGATTATTAATGGATGTCTGCAACTGTTTTTCTTAATTTTGAGTTGTGTCCCATCAGCAAATAAAGGTCCCAAAAGCTTTACTCCATTCACTTCATCATGGTCATCTCTACTTTGAGGAGGCAGCTCTTCCCCAGTCATATTTTGAGTGCCTTCCAGCCTGAGGCGCTCTTATTCTGGTGCTATATCTGGCAATATTTTGGTGTTCTTTCTTAAGTTTCAATATTCAGTCTTCTGGTACTGACAGTGTTACACTGCTATTCATAAGGTTTTCGGTGGCTAAATATTCAGAAGTAGTCTGTTTGTCTTTCTTCCTAGTTTGTCTTCATCTGGAAGCTCAACTGAAATCTGCCTACCATGGGTGACCTTGCTGGCATAGCTTCCAGAATCAAACTACCACAGTATGACAGACTGACAGATGAGTTTGTTAAATTAGCATGTCTGTGATCCCAATCAAAATATAATTCTGGGTTGTGCTGCTAGACATTTAAGAGGAGACATTAAGCTTGCCTACTGTTAGACTTAAAGGAGCTCTGGTAGCGTAGTGGTTAACGAACCGGGCTGCCAACCTCAAGGTCAGCAGTTTGAAACTACCAGCTGTTCCACAGGAAAAAGATGAGGCTTTCTGCTCCCGTAAAGATTTACAGCCTCGGAAACCCTTTGCAGGGTTGCTATGAGTCGGAACCGACTCCACGATACTTAACAACAACAAAATTAGACTTCGTGGAACATAAAAGACTGTATGATAAACACTGATCTTGGAACCACAAGGTCATTAGTTGGAGCCCATCAGCTGCTCCGTGAGAGAAAAATGAGGCTTTCTGCTCCTGCAAAGGTTTCCAGCCTTGGAAACCCTATACATGGTCTCTATGAGTCGGAACCAACTTGACAAGTAAAGCGATCACAGAGCGGACTAGATTAAGTCAGTCCTATTCTGCACTTTGTATTCAGCGTAAATTTTTCAGGTTAAGTTGTTTGCCCCAGACCTCAAACTTCAGACTCAAATTTGGACTGAAGTCCAAAGTTGCTGTTTGTAAACCATGGAGGATCAGTTGTACCTTTCCTGGTGTTCCTGGTGCATTCAGGAAAACTGTAGGGCTCTTAAATTTTTTCTAACCACTTCTGAGCTAGGGCTAAGAGCATTCTTAGTATGGTAACAAAATCCTAAAAAGTTTCTATTTTGCATACAAGGGTAAGTCAAAAAGTAGTGCTACTAGCATTCCAGTTAACACATAACACAGGTTTATTCCAAACAAAACACGCTTAAATCTGCCTCTTCAATCAGTGGATGGCTATAGACAAGGTCTTCTCAGAAATATATTTATCTTACTTTCATTAGGAAGCCTTCAAAAACGATACTTTTTAAAAAAATAAATGTTTTATTGTGAATTATGTGATAGTTTACCTGGGAGAACATTAGCTTTACATTCATTCTATTGTATATAGTTTCATTGCCATGGTTACAATCCCCTCCATGCATCATCAACCAACCACAGGGTATACCCTGCAAGCCTGCCCCCTACATTACCGCCCCCAGACTTCAGCACACAGTTGCTCTGCCTCTCTGGATCTCAAGTCCCCAGCTGCTCCATCGCTCCACGTCATAATCTCTACCTCCATCTCAGACATCACTGTTTCTCTGGGTAGGGTCCCGTTCTTGGCTCTTCTCTCTTGATGGTCCCAGGGACCTCCATTCCTAGACTGCCAAGTTAATCACTCCCCTTCTTGCTATAAAATGTCTATCTGTACATTTCCAACCCTCACAAATCAGTCCTGATAACAATTATTCACTATTGCATCACGAGACCCATCTGCATTTCATTTCATCAGCCAAGAAGGATACTTTTTGTGGTAAGGGCTAGTAGCACATTTTTAACTATTATTTAAGTGAGTATCCTCCCAAATCATTGAAGCTTTGCAACAAGTTAAAGGAATGGTTCCATACATAAACCAATAGTTTTTAGATGGATAAAGCATTTTAAGGAAGATCAAGAAGACCTCAGAGATGAGCCGAGAGGGAAGAAACTATAACCGAGTCCAGAAATTGGTAGAACATAGAATTACTATTGGGTGTGATAGCTACTGAAGTTGGGCTCTTACATGGTTCAGCATTTTTTATTTTCAGTGAACATCTTGGCCTCAGCAAGCTCGATGGCTACCAAAAGCAGTGCACAAACATCAGTTAGCTCAGAGTTTCCATCAGTCTTTTAAGTAAAATGAAGATGATTTTATGGAGTGATTCATAACTAGGGACAAGGTTTGGATATATCTGTATGATCCAGAGAGTGAAGGCCAGCTAGAACAGTAGTTTCTGAGGTAGGTGATCTGCTAAGGTCAGTTAAGTTCAAGGCAGAGCTTAGCTCATAATGGTATGGCAACTGATTTTCGGGATTCCAGAGGGATAATTTTAATAAATGTTCTTGAAGGAGTGTATTCTGAAGAAGTTTTTAGAAAATGGAGAACTGCACTGGTGAGAAAAAGGCCAGGAAAGTTGTGCAGAGGGATATCTTTTTCCATTGTGACAATGCATCTGCTCATTCTTTGAGGGGAGTGAGAGCTGTCCTATGAGAATTTTGTTAAGGAGACCTGTCCCCATCCACCCTACAGCTCTGAGCTTGCAAAGACTTTTTTGTTCCCCCAAACTCAAGGAACATTTAAAAAGGAACAGGATTTGAGTCCCTCAAGGTTGACAAAATTGCCATTTTGACACGGTGTAAATCAAAGAGTGCAAGTATTCTTCGGGGAAGGGCTAGAGAGATGAAAACACCACCATCAGAACTGTAGAGACTTATATATGGAGGGCTTGTCAAGAAACCATGATGTCACATTTTGATAAATTTTTTAATGAAAGTTTCTGTGCTTTTGTAGAAATACTTTTTTTTTTTTAAACTTTTCATATTTAACACAATCATAGATTTTGTTTCAGTCCTATAATTTACTTTCCCATTGCAATATATTACCATTTGAAGGATAAAAGGGTGAGGTACAGAATTCTTAGAGATGGAACTTTGGAATATAAAGGTATTGTGTTTATAGACTAAGAACATGTTTTATTTCAAATGGAGGCTGTTTTCCACACTTGGGTTGGGGTGAGCTGGCTATGGTTGCCAAGGATCAGAATTTGTAGAGGAGCCTGCTTGGCCTTCTTGTTGGAGATTCGTTTTAGGGTAAGGAGAAGGGTAGGGTGTAGTCCAGGAAGGCAAAGAGTCATTAAAGGTTTCCTTTCATGATTATCACTTCCTCCCAGCTCAGCACTAAACTCAGATTTTTCTTTCTTTCTTCTTTTTTTTTTTTTTAATGAACTAAAATTCCCCTTGTCTGCCTAGTTTCCGTCTGAGAAGTTACATGCTATGTCGTGCCATTGCTGTTGCTGAGCATTAACTCTAACAGTGACCCCCACATCGTGGCTGACTGGCTGCCCTGTGATAGTAATGCTCGCATTGCATGCCCCTCCATTTGCTTCCCCTCCTGGATGAGTCATGGTGGAGGATCATTTGCAGATGGGTCGGAAACCACAGTGCTGGACGCAGTAATGGCCTTGAGACTCCCCACACTGACAGAGCTCATTAAAATTATACAAGTGTTATCGTTAACATCATCAGTTTGCTTATTCTTTGGTATGGCAACATAGTTGAGCCCAGAGCCTTGACCAGGCTTAGAGAGGAGGATGGATAGTTTGTAGATGAAGTAGTCTCCAAGGCAGATACACGTGTACCCTAGGCATGAGAGTAGTGGTTGCATCCTCATAGTCTGTGTCTGTATGTCTTTGCTGTTCTAGAATCCCACCATTCCAATGCAGAAATTGCAGGATATCCAGAGAGCAATGGAGCTGTTATCCGCGTGCCAGGGCCCAGCCAGGAACATTGATGAGGCTGCCAAACACAGATACCAGTTCTGGGACACGCAGCCAGTACCCAAACTAAGTAAGCATTTCTATTTTTTTTTTACCACCAATAATGTTGGATTAACAAGAAAAACACAAGAGACTCAATTTGTAGACCTTGTTGTATACGGTAGGTTAGAGATTTACATGAGAATAATATATATTTTGGTGTCCTGGTGTGGTGCTGTAGGATCGACACTGGACTGCTAACCACAAGGTTAAGGGTTCAAACACACCAGCCACTCCTTGGAAACCCTGTACAGGGTCACTATGAGTCAGAATTGACTCGATGGCACTTAACAACAATATATTTTTTAGTAAATGATTACATTTTAGGGAGTGGCACTGACTTTAAAAAGCAATCATTTGAGTCTAATTACTTCCCTTCTAGATGGTGGCACTATGGGTTAAGTGTTGGTCTGCTAACCACAAGAGTGGCAGTTCAAATCCACCAGCTGCTCCCCAGGACAAAGATGAGACTGACTGTCTCTAAAGGTTTGAGGTCTCAGCAGCCCTACAGAGCAGTTCTTCTCTGTCCTATCAGTTGTCCCTCTATGGCAGTGGGTACTGTTCCTCTTAAAAAGTTCCATTCCTCTACACTTGACACTTTTTTTAAATGTTACGAAGTGCCATTGAGTTGGTTCTCATTGCAAACCATGTGTAGTTTCTGAGGAGCACCTGGTGGGTTTGAATTGCTGATCTTGTGGTTAGCAGCCCACTGCATATCCTAGCACGCCCACCAGGAGTCCACATAGCACACAACTAGCTGGAGTCCTGGTGTGGTGCTACAGTCGAGTCAGTTCTGACTCATAGTGACCTGATGTAGAATTTCCCAGGCTGTAAAATCTTTTTACAGGAGTAAAAAGCCTCATCTTTCTCCTACAGAGCAGCTGGTAGATTTGAACTCCTGACCTTATGGTTAGCAGTCCAGTATTTATCTTACAGTGCCACCAGTGCTCCTTCTACATGCACACACACATATGAAAAGGGAACCTTGGTCTGTGCTCTTTTTTTTTCCTCTTCTGAATTACATGGAGTTGTTTTTCTTGTGCATAAATGTTTCGTAGTTTCATACCTCAGTTATTCTAAACGACATAGAATGTGCCCTATTAAATCTCACTGGAATGGGAAATTCTGTACTATTTAGTAAGAGGATTCTGAACACTCACCAGTGGAGTTAATTAATATCAGTTCAATCACATTACATGTCAAAAGGGAATTGGGACACCTCATGAAGGCCTTTGTGAGGGGTTTTGGTTATGGTTAGAAATTCTCTGAAAGTACGCCTTTCTTCCGTGGGTGCTTGCACCTGCTTGATCACATTTGCTTGAGAGATTGCTTACACTTTTATGTAAGTTCACATAACAAAATTTATTTATTCTTAAGTGCCATAACATTAAAAATATATAATTGATGGTGGTTGGTGATTTTGTGCTGTGGAGTTGGTTTCGATAGTGACCCTGCATAGGGTTTCCGAGGCTATAAATCTTCACCCGATCAGAAAGCCTCATCTTTCTCCCATGGAATGGCTGGTAGTTTTGAACTGTGAGGTTAGCAGCCTGACTCGTAACCACTATGCTATCAGAGCTCCTAAGTTGTCACATAGTTGTTTTTTTCTTTTTGATTGATTAGGTTCTGGAATCTATATACTATGAAGGGGTGAATTGTCATACCAATGTTTTAAGAGCTTAGCTATGTACAGATAAGAGAACCCTGGTGACAAAATGTGGAAGTGCTCAGTGGCACTTGGAACCTCTTCAGTGGCTCTGCGGAAGAAAGACCTGGTGATTTCCTCCCATAAAGATTGTTGTTATGTGCCATCAAGACCTTGCAGTTCAAACCAACCTTGTAGTCTAGTCAAACACCTAGAAAACCTTATCCGGCACTTCTGCTTGGTTACATGAGGTCACTATGAGTCGAAAATCAAAATGAACAAATAATCAAGTTCATCACATAAAAATCAGGAACAACCCTTTTCTGTGCTTTCAAATAGTGGTTTTCAAACTTTTTTAAGCTACCACGCCTCCCAGATAATTTAAATAGAAAGAATGAGCTTCCGAGTGTTGAAAGAAGAAAGGACTAAATCAGCTTGCCTTTTTTGTCTTTAGAAATGTATTTAGTAGTAAAAGTTACATGAATACTCATGAATTTCCAGCATGTTAAATGGCATTGAAATGAATCATCTTTGTTGTTAAGTGCTGTCACGTCAGTTCCTACTCATAGAGACCCTGTATAGGATTTCCGAGGCTGTAAATCTTTGCAGGAGCAGGAAGCTTCATCTTTCTGCCTGAGTGACTGGTGGGCTTGAACTGCCGGCATTGTGATTCACAGTCCAGTGCTTGTCCTACAGAGCCACCACACTCCCCCAAGTTACCATTAGCTATAAAGAATCTAAATGTATTGGGGGTTTTTGAATTTAACTCTGAGCTCCTGGACCTAGTGGTTAGCAGTCCAGTGCTTATACTACAGTGTCACACCAGAACGGTGTTGTTTAATGACATCGAGTCAGTTCCAATCTATAGTAACCCTGTATAGGGTTTCCAAGGAGCAGCTGGTGAGATTGAACTGCCGACCTTGCAGTCTGATGCATTAACCCGCAGCACCACCAGAATATAGTGGTGGAATAAGTGGGATAATTGGTGGCCAGGAAGCAAGTCAACTAGGGAGGACATGGTTTTAGGCAAGTGCTTTAGTCATGGGAAGGGATGTGTAATATGGAGAAATCAAGGGGCTAGCCTAAGGGAGGCCAGCCACTGTTGCTAAAACCCTGGGCACAAGGTGAATGCAGTGAGTGGAGAGGCAGGCAGCAGCCACAGTGAAGAGCCTGGATTTTGTTCTCATAACATTGGGAAGCTCTGCAGAGAATGAGTTGGAAAAGGCATGAATAGAAACAGGTATGAATCGGGCTGCTAACCTCAGGATCAGCAGTTCAAAACTACAAGCTGTTTAACTGGAGAAAGATGAGTCTTTGCAGCCTCAGAAACCCTATACAGGGTCGCTATGAGTTAGAACTGACTCCACGGCCCACAACATCCTTGTAGAAGGCTAGGACTGCAACGACTTGGACTAGAGTTCTGGCTTTAGAGATGGAGAGAAGTATACAGAGGTCGGAAACTGACTTTAGATTTTGCTAGAAGGGATCAGAAGTCATTGCAGCCCTTTGCAATGACCTGGCCCCAGTTTGCTGAAATGTGGTACAAAAATAAGTCTCCAAAGCTGTCATATCAAACCTTTTATTTTTATGACACCAGTTTTTTCACATGATGACCAAGGATTTCTACTTTGATGAAACAACAATTACCCTATTTTGCTCCAGAGGCAGAGGGGGCTTCAAAAATTTCATGAAAAAATAAAAAACTGGAATGTTTCCACAAGCTTTTTGAAGCACCCCTGTAGATGAATTAATAGTATATTCTTTTAAGGTTGTCTATGCCCAAGGGTCCTAAATATGTCTTTATTTTTTAACTGGGCATTTAGGGTTTTTAGAATATTCTTTTTTGTCTTTCTACCCCTTTCCCTCCCTTTCCAGATGAAGTCATAACATCTCATGGTGCAATTGAGCCAGATAAAGACAATGTACGTCAAGAACCATATTCTTTGCCACAAGGTTTCATGTGGGACACCTTAGATTTGAGTAACGCGGAAGTGGTGAGTCAGCATCTAATCCCACACCTGTGTTCATATGAATTGCTTCTGCATTGGTTCTGAGCACCATAGACAGGACACTTGTTCTATCTTGTAGCTCAAGGAGTTATACACATTGTTAAATGAGAACTATGTAGAAGATGATGACAATATGTTCCGGTTCGACTATTCATCCGAGTTCCTATTGTGGTAAGTCTCAGCCTGCTGTGATGCCGGCGATGGTGGTGGTTAGATTGACATGACTAGTGGACACCGAGTGACTCCTGTTTTTCTCGTCTACATTGATGGTTGGGTTGACTGGCTCTTGGACACTGACTCTTGTTTTCCTCGTCTACATTGATTGCAGGGCTCTGCGTCCCCCAGGCTGGCTCCCGCAGTGGCACTGTGGAGTCAGAGTGTCTTCAAATAAAAAACTAGTAGGGTTCATAAGTGCCATACCGGCAAACATTCGGATTTACGACAGGTACGGATTACAGCTGGTCGGTTTGTGTGTGTTTCTTTTCCCTTTTCCCTCTTCATTCTTCCATCATCTTGTCAGCAGGCTTTCCTGAGGTAAGGGCAGGAATACAGGTCACACCCGAGCACAAAGGCCCGGTGTTATTTGCTTTGGTGATGTGTGGGGACCATTAGGAGTTGACTATGTATATGTAAGCTTCCAGTCCTCTTTGTGAGTAGAGGTTCCCGATACCCCAAAATAGAACTTCTGCAAGCAGAAATCCAGTGTAAACTGAAGAAACAGTTACCGTTAATTTACATGGGAAAGACTAGTGTTAACAGACCCAGAAAATAACCTACCATATCATCTCGACACATAAAACCTAAAGTTAACACTAGGATGTCGTGTTCACAGACACAGTTCAAAGCTGTAGCGGTTGTTCCAGGGGAAGGAGCTGGGGGACTCCTCTCTCCGAATTCAGGGTACCTCTTTAGTGGCTCACTGCAAAAGAAATGCTGAATACTAAGTTTCACTCTTTACCTTTTTTTCCCCATAGAAATAAAAAATCTGATAGTTGTTTTAGTTAGTGAAAACAGGTACTAATACAGGTTTTTTGTAGAAGTAAAGTGGTGTAAAGGGAACTTTCAAAGAGCAGTGGATACCAGCTGTTGGTGGCTTGGAAGCACTTTCACCAATGTGACAATTGAAGAAAATGTGGGCTTTGTTTTTTTTAAATTGCAATTGTAATGGGATTTTAAGGATTACTTCATGGGAGCACTATGGCTCTGCAGGATAAGCACTAGACTAAGGTCAGCGGTGCGAGCTTACCAGCTGCTCCACAAGTATTTACAGCCTTGGAAATCCTATACAGGTTCACTATGAGTCAGAACTGACTCGATGGCACTTCAAAATTTTTTCCGAGATGAAAATTTTCTCTCCCTAGGATAAGCTCTGGGTTTCCAGCTCTTAAAAGTCAAAGATCTAATGCCTAATAGGTTTGTTTGCCTGCAAGTCTATTTGGTTAGCTTATGTACTGATAAACGTGTTTGACCTCAGGTAATACTGTGTTTCAAACAGTGGATCCTCCAAGTACTCTAGCAGGAATGAAATTAATTATTGAACTGTGTGAGAGAATTGTCTGTCACCTGGAACTAGAGCCTGGAGAGTACGCTTTGAAGCTGCAGACTTATTCTAGCTCAAAATATTGGTGACACTTGGGGATCCTGTGGGTTTGTACCATCCTACAAAGCAACATCTTATCAGATTGTGGAGCCTGGGTGACCCACTTATTGCTATAATTGTACACACTACAGGAAACAACATACAGAAACGGTAAGAGCCATGTGATCCCTTTTCGAAGCTGAAAACTTGAGGCCTAAAATACGTTTAGAACAAGGAGGTTGGAGTCTCCGTGGCCTAAAGTTAACAGTAATTTTGTTCTGTTTTGTAATGTGGGATTACCAGGAGTCAGAATCAACTTGATGGCAACTAATCTGAATCATATGCTGACACAAACAGTTTCCAACCAATTGAAAAGTTGGTGATTCCAACCCACCCAGAGACACTTTGGAAGACAGTCCTGGCAGTCAGCAAACGAAAGATCACAGCCTTGAAAACTCGATGGAGCTTAATTCTATTGTGACACACGAGGTGTCAACCGTGAGTCAGGATTGACTCGAAAGCAACTGGTGGTGGCGGCGGAATGGGGAAGTTTATAACCTGATAGTGTCTGAATGACAGAATTTTTTTTTTTTAAAGATTATCAGAATTGGAGGCCTTTTTAATCTTTTCAATCTTGGAAATTTTAAGGATATAGTTTTCATCTTTTATTTGGTCTAATTTTGACAACTTTATTTCTTAGTGTGAAGAAGATGGTAGAAATCAACTTTCTCTGTGTTCACAAAAAATTGAGATCAAAGCGGGTAGCCCCCGTATTAATTCGAGAAATAACCAGAAGAGTGAACCTGGAAGGCATCTTCCAGGCTGTTTACACTGCTGGGGTGGTTCTTCCCAAGCCAGTGGCCACGTGCAGGTAACAGCACCAAGTTCTTACCTTGTACCTTATATTTAGGAAGCATGCTGAGGCTCACTGATGTGTTTGCTAGAAGTATCATTCTTCTCATATGTAACAGAAAACAGAGGCTTGGAGGAGGGATGGGCACTTGTTTGTGAATATGTGGTTTGTTGAAAGCATAGATGGAGACTACAGCCTAGAGTTGTTGAGTCCAGTACCCTTTCCAGTATATCACACTGCCGTGCCGCATGAAGATAAAAAACCTTGGTGACATTTTCCTGCTAATGAGGCTAGTTATGTATCTCTGTTTCTATTTCACCTGCAAGACTAGTGGAAAAACCCAGGGCGTTTGATCTTGAAATACCAAACGTTAGTACCATTTCCTTTACACCTCTAACACTCAGTTCTATACTGTGCTTTGTGGAACGTTTCCAATAGCTAGATATGCATCAATTTTAGGGCCCCATACATACATGTTAGCTAAGAATAAGACGACTTAAGCTCTGTTTTTGTGAATCCATCTGCTCTTACCAAGATTTCAAAACTTGTTTCCAGTGAGAAAATTTATCAGGTTGTCACTTGACTAACCTGTTTTTAATATCCTAAGGAACCCTATTGGTGTAGTGGGTTACATGTTGAGCTGCTAATTGCAAAGTCAGCAGTTCAAATTCACCAGCTGCTTCGCTCCATGGAAATGAGAAGAGATAAAACCTTCTGCTTCCATAAGAGATACAGCCTCAGGAAACCTAGGGCGGTGGTGGTCGTGTGCCGTGGAGTCGGTTCTGACTCACAGCAACCCTGTATAGGGTTTCCGAGGTTGTAAATCTTTACGGGAGCAGAAAGCCTTACCTTTCTCCCACAGAACGGCTGGTAGTTTGGAACTGCTGACCTTGAGTCTAGCAGCCTGACTTGTAACCACTACACTATCAGGGTGCCTTTCAAAAACCCTATTCAAGGGTCAAAATTAGTTGCAGATGACTTGACATCCCTCCACCACCACTATTTTTATTGACTCAAATCAAGGTCAAACATCAAGTAAATGTACTACAAAACTAAAAAATCAAACCCACTTCCATCAAGTGAGTTTCAGTTCATGGCTCACATTTACCACCTTTATAAATAAAATAGACTTCAAAGGTACAACTTTTAAAACAATACGTAATTCATCTGGGAACATAAACTGATGCTGTTGTCACTAAGTGCTGTCATGTCAGTTTCGACCCATAGCAACCTTGTATAGGGTTTCCAAGGAGTGGCTGGTGGGTTTGAACCATCAACCTTAGGAGTGTAGTGCTTATCCTACACCACCACATATGTACTCCACGAACATAAACTAATTTCTTAAAAAGTTTTCTTTGGTGTGCATTATACAGAACTGAACGCTAGTAATTTGGGACAAGTCTTACCATATTTTTTTAACTTTATGGTTGTCTTTTGTAGAATTAGCAATGAGAATTAAACCCTTGTAAGCCAGGCTTGAAGATTTCTTTTCACTGAAAGAGATGAAAGTTTACAAGCTCCAAAGAAAGACTAGTGATACAGGACATAGTATGTGGTTGTTAAGTGCTGTTGAGTTGGTTCCAACCCTTAGTGACCCTGTGTAGGGTTTCCGAGGAGCAGCTGGTGAGCTTGAACTGCCAACCTTGCAGTTCAGACGGCTTTGCGGTCTGGTGCATTAACCCACAGCGCCACACCAGGACTCCAGGATAGAAGGGGGGTAGGGGGAAAGGCTGATAAAAGTATTGCCTAGAAAGAGGGATCGTGCCCAACAGTAAATGCTTATTTAACAGAGCCACTGAGATAGAGTGGAACCTTGGAGAATTACAGAGCAATTTGATTTTAAAAACCTTCTCTGTGTTCCAGATACTGGCATCGATCACTAAACCCCAGAAAATTGGTAGAAGTGAAATTTTCTCACTTGAGTAGAAATATGACTTTACAGAGAACAATGAAGCTATACAGACTTCCAGATGTAAGTAAAAATGATTTGCAATTTTTCGAAGTTTTAACAATCAAGGCTTTTAAATACAAAAAAGAATGATTTATTTGTAGATCTGAAAATTAACTCATGTATCTGAGGATGTATGTTGCTAGAAAGAATGCATGGACTGAGGGGCTAGAGAAAGCAGAAGAGCTCATTTGGAAGTATAGGCTGCTCTGTCTTTTCTTTTTTCTTAAAGACTTTTTAGGTTTCTCGGTTTGTAAGTTGAATGAGACTGAACTTGCTGCATGTAAGTTTTGAAATTCTGAGTATTACAGTCTATCAACTAAGAGGGAAGAGAAATGTTCAGGCCTCTGATGATACCAACGTAATGGAACCCAGGGATCGAATTTTGAGGAAAGACTCAGGAAGAAATCCTGTTTTATTAAATTATGCTTTTAAATGGCAGATTTAGTATGAAAAGTTGTCTTCCTAGGGAAAAACTTCAATATGCCTACCAATATTGGTTTTATTTTGGATATGGACAGTGTATAAGGTAAGGTATCTACTGCTATAGAGTCTTTAGGTGAGCAATGCAGGCATGCATTCACTAAGCTAAGGCCTCTTCATCAGGGTCTCTCATGAAAGTATCAGCCAGGGCTGAGGTCTTAAATTAAAACTTGACTGGGAAGGAGCTCCTTGCAAGCTCATGTGGTTGTTTGCGAGAGTCAGTTCTTTGTGTGCTGTTGGACTTGAGGACCTTAGTTCCTTGCTGATTGTTGACTGGAGACCACTCACAGCCCTTGCTACATGGGCTTCCCCATAGGGGAGCTCATGATATGGCAGCTCCTTCATCAAAAGGAGCAGGGAAGAGTCTACAGAGAGAAAGTGGTAGCAAGATAAAAGTCAGAATCTGATGTACTCTATTCATAGACACATTCCAGTCACCGTTGTTGTATTTTTGTTGTTTAAAGCAAGTCACAGATCCCAAATTCGCATTCAAGGGACTGTACAAGGACATGAATACCTCAAGAATGGGGTTGTTAGGGACCCTCTTGGAGTGTAGTATGTTTGAAATTTTGATTTTGTCAGTTATTCTTTCTTTTCTAGTAAACAAAGTAATAAATATTGTAGCTTGATTGAGGAATTCATATGGCATGTAGCCATGTTCCTGTAGATCACCTATAATCTTTCTAGATACAGTAAGGCGCTCTGGTAGCGTAGCAGTTACGAATTGGGTTGCTAATCTCACAGTCAGCAGTTCGAAACTACCAACTGTTCTGTGGGAGAAAGAGGAGGCTTTCTGCTCTCGTGAAGATTTACAGCCTCAGAAACCCTATGCAGGGTCGCTATGAGCCGGAACCGACTCCATGGCATATAACAACAACTAGATACATTAGACTAGTTCCTTTTGTCTTTTGGCCAGTCTTGTGTTGACCCAACCAATGTAATCAGTAGCTGTTTTTCTGATGACACAAGAATTGAATAATGCCTGGTCTTAGGCCAAATTTCACAGGGAGAAGAGTGGACGTGAAGGAAACAGAATAGTTGGAAATGTCAGTATCATCATCCTTGGGCTTCCCAAGCAGGCATGAGGATTCAAACAGATGCTCCTCCCTTCTCTTTAACTCACTGCCTCTCTGGGATCCCAAGGAAGAAGGGGAAGCACAGGTCAGAACTGATAAAAGTGAAAACCGCAGCTGGCTTGACACATGTTCTGGGTAAGAGAAAGCAGGCCCCTCAGGCTAGCTTGACAGAAACGATGCTAAACACATCAGAGGGTGTAAGCACCGAAACAGAGAAATTGGAAAATGTGTAGAGAGGCCATGCTGTTGGTATTACCATCAATATTTACTAATTCATTTTTGTGGGGATGTCAAGAACAATTTGTACTCATGGTCAAGACCCAAAGAGATTGAGAGGAAGAGTCACATAGACCCACAAATGCAGTGAGTGAGAAAAATGGGGCACAGTACACAGCTAAGGTGGACTGCCCTTTTTTAAGGTGCCATTTATTCTAGGTATCCTTGCTAGTGTTTAGATAAGTTTGCTATATGCAAATTGAACTAAAAATTTCAAACATGCCATTTTTTTTGCTGAGGACTAGTACTGTTCTCTTTGGTTCCCTGAATTTCAGTTTATTGAACCTAAAACAGTCTAGCCTGTGTGGAAGAGAAGCACCCACTTGTATGTATTTTGCCTAAAATAGGATGAAGAATAAAGGGGTTTCATACCCATCACTGGGCTTTTTAGGCCATTTAGAATGTAATGAACGCAAACTATTCTTAAGCAAGTTTTGACAAGTTGCTCATCAGGCTTTAGCCAAGGGGCATATCAGCTAGGTCCCAAGCTTCTGCTATCACCTCTCACACTCCCTGTAGGGAGCACCATGACTGAATCCCACCACCTGCCTTGCCATGCAGTCGTTGGAGCATAGTTTAAGACAGGAAAGGACAGTTACAGGTCCAGAAAGCTCTGAGAGGTCTGTTCCAGCCTTCCATCCCTGTTATGTCAGTGGGAAGGAAAGGAAAATAAGTAAATTAACGGGCACACCAACAGAGGATGGAAGTATAGACTTTGCATCATGTTAAGGACATTTTATACATTTTATACTGCTAAGCAAGAAAAGAAGAACCTTATTGAACATCAGGTTTGCTGTATAGATCCAACTTGACTTATTGACTCATTCTTATTGTACGAGCTTTATGCCTTCCTTCCTCATGGACTTCTGAATATGAGAGTTAACATTTTACTGTGGTCTTTATTCTCACCGCTTGTCTATCAGTTTGTTGTACTGTAGTGGCTTGCATGTTGCTGTGATGCTGGAAAGGTTTCAGCCAAGCTTCTAGACCACTTCTAAATGTTTAGCTACTGAAACCCTTCCGAATAGCAGCATATTATTAGATGTAGTTCCAGAAGATGAGCCCCTCAGGTTGGAAGACACTCAAAATATGACTGGAAAAGAGCTACCTCTTCAAAGTAGCATGAATGAAACAAAGCTTTCAAAACATTCACTTGTTGACAGAGCCCAACTCAGAATGAGGAGAAACAACTGCAAACATTCATTAATAGCCTATGGGATGTACGACATACACATCTAGGAAAACTGTAAGTTGTCAAAAATGAAATGGAACACATAAAGATACCGTAGACATTAGTGAGCTAAAATGGATTGGTATTGGCCATTCTGAATCGGACGATCACATGGTTTACTATATACCAAGAATAACAAATTGAAGAATGGTGTCACATTCATCATTTAAAAGAGCATTTCAAGATCGATCTTCAAGTACAATGTCTGTGATAGTATATCCATAAGCCTACAAGGAAAACTAGTTAATACCACTATTATTCAAATTATGCACAAACCACTAAATTCTATGAACTTTAGTCTGAAATTGATCAAACTGTAGTCAAGATGCATTGATAATTACTGGTGATTGCAATGTAAAGGTTAGAAACAAGGACTTTGGTGAAAGAAATGATGCTGGATATCACATGACAGAATTTTTCATGACTATAAAGTACATAGGAATCCAACTGACTCTATCTGAGGGAAGAGACAATAGAGAATCTCATCTGCCAGGGACAGACTGTGGAAAAGATATCTAAGTTGAGATCTAAGTTGAGAACCACCAAAGTAAGAAAAAATCAAGAACAGATTTGATGTGTTAAACGAAGACCAGAGCAAGCAAAAAGGTTGTTAATACAGCAAAGAAAAGACCAATATGGATGTCAGAAGAGATTCTGAAACTTGCTCTTGAGTGTAGAGACTCTAAGCAACTGGAAGAAATGAGGAAGTAAAAGCTAAACAGAAAACTTCAAACGGCAGCTTGAGAAGACAAATTCAATTATTATCCTAAAATGTGCAAATATCTGAAGTTAGAAAACCAAAAGGGAAGAACATACACTTAACAATTCTTAAACTAAAAGAACTGACGCTTTGATTTGCAATATTAAAGGATTCCATGGGCAAAATATTGAATGGAAGAAATACTATACTTAGTCCCTGTACCAAAAAGAAATCGTCAATCTCACCCATTTCAAGAGGCAGCACATAATCAAGAATGATGTACTGAAGAAGTCCAAGCTGCACTGAAGGCATTGGTAAAAAAACAAGCCTTCAGGAATTAACGGAATACAAATTGAAATACCTCAAAACTGATGCAGAAGTAGAGCACTCACTCATCTACACACAAAATTTCAAAGACAGCTATCTCGCTAACTGATTATAAGGGATCTTCATATTTGTGCCCATTTCAAAGAGAAGTAATATTTCTGAGGCTTTCACATCTGAAAAGACACAAAGAGCTTAAGTTCTCTGAGCTTAGGTCATTTATCTATTAGGCTACATTTCTGTGATCTTTATAGATTACATAAATCATAATGAATGGTACATAGTAAAACACTCGGCTAAGAACATTTGGATCTAAATACAAAGCCCTAGTCTTCAATGATCAATCGCTCTGTCCCTCGACGTAGCAACCTCAGCACAGGGCATCCAGCCACCCATTAGAGTCAATCAAAACTGATGCTCAAAAGATACAAATTATCTGCCATGGAATTCTACCCTATTTTCAGTCTAGGGGAACACAGTAATTTTAATTATCCAATTCTACAACAGGCTTTTTTTTTTTTTTTTAATCATTTAGAAATAATCTAGGGCAGAAAAGAAAAGTTAGAAATACTGCTGTACAGGCTACCCTCAAATTTAATGTATCTTGAGAAAAGATACCAAGTTTATTAGAAAATAATTATAGTTCTAAGTTTGTATGTACGTGTGTTTTTACAAAAAGGGATGGGTGTTCTTTCTTCTAGTCACAGGTGCCCTAGTGAAAAGTCCTAGAAAGCCACATGCTATCTGGAGATGCACTGAGCATAAGTAATTGAGCAGTCCTGACCTTTCTGTTCCTGTGACCTAATTTAAAGTTTGCTGATGTCGAGTATGAATGCAAATGCCTGTCCCATATGAGTCATGATCATCTTTTTACCAAAAATATAGCATGAGAGGCCAGGTTTCAGTTCCTGGCAGCCATTACTTTTTAGAAAATAATTGGCTACCAAAATGCTTGCCTTCTCATCTTGACAGATGATTTTTTTTTTTTTAATTCATTTTTGTTGTTCGTGAGAACAAGAATCATTATATCCTTTACATAGAATACATACTCACTAAACCGCAGGTCTCGCTGGTACATTCAGCTGTACTTTCAAACTGTCCGACTTAGCAATTTTAAAACAGGATCCTCCAGAGGACGTGCTAAGCTTGTTTTGGCCTTATGTAAATTGTTGAAAATACTTTGCACTGATGTATATATACAGCTCAATTTGCAGTGAAATGTTACCTTTGATTTTATTTGGTTCATTGGTCATACTGACCAAAGAGCTGCAGTACAGAGATGAGACTGATACATGTTGTCCTGCATATTTTCTAGCCAGTTTTTCTGAAATTTCAGTGTATGAATCTATAGTGAACTTATTAAACTGAAGGTTCTGATTCAGTAGGCCTGGGGTTGGGGCCAAGGTTCTGCCTTTCTAACAAGCTATGATAACTGATCTGTAGACCCCACTTTTGAGTAGTACAGTTGTACTCATTCTTAAATTTAAACTTCCAAATTTGTTCTGTTTTCATTCTAACAAGGTTACAAAGACTTCAGGTTTGAGACCGATGGAACCAAAAGATATCAAAGCAGTTAGAGAATTAATCAACAGCTACCTGGAGCAATTTCATCTGGCCCCGGTGATGGATGAAGAGGAAGTAGCCCACTGGTTTCTCCCCCAGGAGCACATCATTGACACGTTTGTAGTGGAGGTAAAGATAAGGTGATAAGTATGAAAATGCTGTACAATTAAGTTTCTTTCTGTGAAGTCTATTCTATCCAAAGTTTTTGTAAACTCCCACTTTCTCTGACCCAGGCATATCAGCTCTTTGCTGATGGGTCTGAGTAAGAGAAAGTAGAGAAAGATGCTGATGGATTATATGATTCAGTTGTGAATGATGTTAACAGAGCCAAATAAGATGTGTCCATTTTGCTATTCTCTGCTGGGTATAAAACGAGCGATCTTAGAAGCAGAAGGGGGATCTCACTACCATCAAGAAGAGAGGCAGTAGGGGAGTGTGTCTTTTGCACCCCAAGATTCCTGCATATTGAACATCCTCAACTTAGAGACAGAAAGCTGTGACACCAGAAGAGAAGCAGGAGCTGCAGAATCAAGAGCAAAAGCAGCAGCAGAGCAGTGAGCTTCCGAGTCCACAGAGCAAGTAAAGCTGAGTGACTGAGCAGGAGGCTTGCACACAGAGTAGGGTGCCTCTGGGCATTTAATTGGGGAGCTAGGTTTGCTGAACCTAGTGGAGTGAAGTGTCCTTTGGAAATTTATCGATGCAGGAGCCTATGACTGAGAGATCAGCCACACAGGCCTGCCTGCAGGTAATACTGAGAAGAGGGTGTCCTGGTTCAGTATTTCTCAAGCTGAAAGAAATGAATGTTTAATTTTGACTTTGGGCAAAATATTGAATGATGCAGAAAACATCAAAAGAAGATAGACAATCACTGTCCCAGAGGTAGCACATGATCAAGAGCTGATGGTATTTAAGGAAGAAGTTCAAGTGGTATTGGTGAAAAACGAGGCTTCAGAATTGATGGAATACAAATTAAAATCTTTCAACAAACTGATTCAGTGCTGGAGGTGGTCAGTCTATGCCAAGAAATTAGACAGGTACCTACCTACCTGGCCAACTGACTGGGAAAGAGCCATATTCTAAAGAAAGGTGATCCAATGGAATGTGGAAATCATTGAACAGTGTCATTAATATCACATGCAAGTAAAAAATTTTGTTGAAGATGATTTAAAAACGATTGCAGGAGAGCACCAACAGGGAGCCTACCAGAAATTCAAACTGGGCTCAGAAAAGAATGTGGAGCATATCATTGCTAACATTGGAAAGATTTTGTCTAGAGCAGAGAATACTAAAAAGATGTTCACTTGTGTTTTATTGACTATGCCGATCATACAAACTGTGGATAACATTCTGAAGAGTGTTCTTGAGGCAGTAGTTCAATCTGTTTGCTAAGGAACTGTCTAAGAAGCTGGATTATATGAAGAACAAGAACGTGACATACAGATGACACATTCTTGTTTCTGAAAGCAAAGAGGACTTGAAGTACTTACTGATGAAGCTCACACACTATAGTCTTCAGTATGAATTGTACCTCAGTGTAAAGAAAATTAAAATCCTCACTATACCAATAAGCAATATCATGATAACCAAAAGATTTGTCAAACACTACATTTTACTTGGCCGTATAATCAATGTTTATGGAAACAGCCATCAAGAAGTCACATAACGTATTGAATTAGCCAAATCAGCTGCGAAAGTGCTGTTTAAAGACTAAGGTGCACTTGACCCAAGCCATGGCATTTTCAGTCACCTCATATGTATGCAAAAGTTGGACAATGAGTAAGGAAGGCCACAGAAGAATTGACGCATTTGAATTGTGGTACTGGAGAATATTGAAAGTACTATGGATTGCCAAAAGAACAAATATGTCTTATTACAAACAAACAGGATTGCCAGACTTTGCCTCTCCTACTTTGGATATGTTGTCATGAGGGACCAATCCCTGGAGAAAGACATCATGCTTTGAAAACGAGGATCAGTGAAAAAGAGAAGGACCCCTACCATGGATCGGCACAGTAATAGGGCTTTTTTTTTCACTCCCCGGATGATTGATAGTTTTAAATATCACTTATATTTAGCATTTATGTATCTTCTTTACTTTTGAGTAGCATTTCTTCAAAGGTTTTATTGGATTTGTCCTGTGAAGTTGTAAGAGTTATTTATGTTATTTATGTATTCTGGATATAAGAACTTTAATATCTGTATGTAATACAGATTCTGTATGTGATACAGAATATTTTGTTATAACCTGTGACTTTTCACATATCTTAATATCTATGGACTTACCATTAAGCCCAATTTTTAAAAAATAATTGTTAGTATTTCCATGTCCAAATCTCTTTGGAATGGGCACAAATATGGATTTCTTCCAAATTTCTTAGATGAGTGAGTGCCTTGTGTGCTGCCTCACTTTCTTGAAAGATTTCAAGTTGCCATCAATTCCTGGTGCCTTGTTCTTTGCCAATTCCTTCAATGCACCTTGGACTTCCTTTAGTATCACTGGCTCTTGATCATATGCTACCTCTTGAAATGGTTGAACATGAACCATTTCCTTCCATCTTCTCTGGATTCAATAATTTGTCGAGAGAATCCTTCAATAATGAAAGTCGAGGCTTGAGCTTTTTCTTCACTTCCCCAGCTTTAAAACTACTGAGCATGTTCTTCTTCTTCTGACTCCAGATCTTTGCACATTTCATTATACTATTGCACATTTCATTATACTATTTGACTTTGTCTTCTCGAGCTGACCTTTGTACATGAGATTTTCTGTTCAGCTCATGTACATTTTCTTTAGCATTTCTATGCTGGAGAGCAAGTTTCAGTGTCTCTTCTGGCATCCATTTTGATCTTCTTTCTTGTCTTCTTAATGACTTTTTGCTTTCCTCATCTATGATGTTCTTGATGTCATCCCACAACTCTTCTGGTCTTCAGTCTTTAGTGTTGATCTCTAAATTCAGGTGGGATATATTCAGGGTCATATTTTGGCTCTCGTGGACTTGTTTTCATTTTCTTCAGCTTCAGTTTGAATTTGCTTATAGGCAATTGGTGGTCTATTCCACAATTTGCCCCTGGCCTTGTTTTGACTGATATGTTGCTTGTCCATCTTCTCTTTCTGCAGATGTAGCAATTTCATTTCTGTGTATTCCATCTCCTGAGGTCCATACGTATAATTGTCTCTTATGCTGTCTAAAGAAGGTATTTGAAATAAACAAATCATTGGTGTTACAGAATCTATCATGTGTTCTCCAGCATCATTTCTATCACCAAGGCCATATTTTCCAACCACTGATCCTTCCTTCCTCGTTGCTCCCAACCTTTGCATTCCCTAAATCACCAGTAATGATCAATACATCTTGATTACATGTTTGATCAATTTCAGATTGAAGAAGTTGGTAGAATTCTTCTATTTCATCCTCACTGGCTTTAATGGTTGGTGCATAAATTGTGTGTAGTGCATTTTTTTCCAAGGAGAGGATTACCTGACATTTCCTGTTTTTTAGAGTGCACGGGGAGAACTGACTGACTTCCTGAGCTTCTACACACTCCCTTCAACAGTGATGCATCACCCTGTCCACAAGAGCCTCAAAGCTGCGTACTCCTTCTACAACATTCACACGGAGACGCCCCTCTTAGACCTCATGAATGATGCACTCATCATAGCCAAATTGGTATGCTACTCTTTTTCTGTACCATTTTCTCAAGATAGGTAAAAATACATAAAAACAGCTCACTGCAATTTTTTTTTCCAAAATAGGTGGAATTCATTCAAAATATATATATATTTTTTGATACTATCATTTAAAGGAATAATTTGGATAAGAATTTCTATAAAAATTTTAGTAGCTATTTTCATATATTCCATTGCAATTTAAAAAATAAAAAAGATACTCTGTACAAATAAATACTAATAGTCTCTGAATTTTATAATTTAGAAGAATTCTATTCATAATGGACCTTTTCTTTCATCTGTATAGAAGTTAGGATAATGTCTCATTCTTGCAACATTATCATTTCTCTTGAATAAAATAAAATGTTGTTCACAATACATTAGGAACAGCATATCAGTGTCTTCCTAATACTTGATAACCAAAGTGATTTTTTTAAAAGCTACTACTTAGGAATCAAAAAATCAACGTGACCCTCAGATTCTTTGGTCCTATGGCTCATTTTCAACTACTTTCCTAGAAAGCCCAGTAAAATAGAACATTTTTTAACTGAAAATATTACTGAAATTATTTTTCAGTATAACTCCATGATAAAATACACAGTTGAAAGTCTTGTACTACTTTGGTCGCTTGGCTACAACTTTGGCTAAGTCAGAACGTGGAAAGTTCAGTCCCTGTGAAGACTCCTAGACAACTGTTAATCTTAATAATTATTTACTGTGTCAGTATTAGCCATCATACCCAATTTTTTTATTTGACATTTCTGGATTACTTTACCAAATCCCATCAAATTCACTGGCTAGTTTTATTAGCCAGTTTTTTACTGAATTCTTACACTACACTACATATTACAGATGGCAATCCCTATTCTAATTGCATATTTGAGCTTTTCATGGAGGAACTAAATGTCTTACAGAAATAATGTAACAAGCACTCTCTAGTCCTTTGACACTATTAATTAATTGTTTTTACACTGGCAGAAAGGATTTGATGTATTCAATGCACTAGATTTGATGGAAAATAAGACATTCTTGGAAAAACTCAAATTTGGTATAGGAGATGGCAATTTGCAGTATTACCTGTACAACTGGAGGTGTCCAGGGACAGATTCTGAAAAGGTAAGAGACGTTGATCTAGCCTGTGTAAAAAAATAAGTTTACCTGGAAAATAGCTTCTATTTCCCTTAATATTTTGTTTTTAAGTGGCTTTCAAAAAAATACATATCTATTAACTACATAATCTAACTTTTCGTGCTTACCTGATCTTATTATTCCATGTATTCCCTTCTTGTAGGTTGGACTTGTATTACAGTAGATGGATATTTTTATTTCTTAGAACTGCCATCACCATTTAATATTTAATGATTCCTGGAACTTCCATTCCAAAGAAGAGTAAAAGCACAACATAAGTGGAAGTAAAGCAGTTGGTAACAATCAGAAACAAGGAGAACAGCACTACACATCTCTAGCTAGAACATAAACCGTCATCTTTTTTGTAGTTTACCCGTTTGTGGGAGGGATGAAAGAATACCAAGATCACGAGTATTACTCTATTTTTCAGTTTTTGGGTTGTCTCTTGATGAAGAGAAGGTATTTTCCCATTCTCTAGCAATGGGACAGTTTTTGTACGGGCTGTAGAGAAGTTATGGAGTCATTTGAGAAATTCTTTGCTATTGTGTGAAGATAAAAACTGCGATTCTATTTATTAAGTAGTGGCACATTTGCCCATGTAACAGGATAAAGGATCCATTCTGAAAGTTTTTACTTACCGCATCTCACATGGAGTCACTGGGAAACTTCTGGATCAAAATAACAGGTGGAGAATATGTTTAAGTGTGGAGCAAAATGAAAATGTGCTTGCTGGTGGCTGGTATGTTACTTTCTCTGTACACAGAGTTGCCAAATGAATGAACATAGACTTGTACTTTGATCTTCATGGATCAGTGAACTAGTTCCAAAGCCAAGTTTTGTGCAAATGGGAAGTGTGCCCTCTGAAGGACACACACCCAGGACAGAAGAGGCTTTTCGGCTGCTGCTCAAACACGTTTCTTCTACCAATGTCAAGGCTATGTGAGGAGGAGGAGACCACAGCTCCAAAGTCACAAGGAAGGCCCAGCGGAGTTTGAATGCTGACAGGATATAGAGAGTCTAGATGTGCTCATTACATGATGCAGAATTACACATGTTCCTTTATGCTGACTTTATCATGAAAGCTGTTATGTGAATGGAAGAGGTCTTATTTGTAAATAAGTATTCATACTTTTGTTACTGATGGTGTTTTTATCTAGAATTTGAAAGTTTCAGTGTACATATATGTGTATATAATTGCCAATAGTCTGGGGTGAGGTAGGGGAGATGCTAAATGAGGCCTCATAGACTGGCCTTGACTCAAACATCACAGAAGTAGACACTTTACTGTCCTGCCTTTACTGTAACCAGTGCCTAGGCTGTTCAGTCCAGAAAATGTCATTGTTTTAGACAATGTATTAATATTTCCTTTGTGTTAAAAATCACATGAACCTTATCAGTACTAGTGTCAGCAAACCATGGTCTCTGGGCTAAATCTGGCCCGTTGCCTGATTTGGTACCACTCATGGTTTTTTACCCTTTTAAATGGTTGGAGGAGGTACAAGAAATCAAAAAAATAATGTTTTGTGACATAATGCAAATTACATGAAATGCATAAAGTTTTTTTGGTGGGAACACAGCCACTTATGTATATTGCCTGTTGGTTTCATACCACAGTGCAGAGCTGAATCCCTGCACATACTAGTCAACAAAGCCTAAATCCTTTCCAGCAGGTTTGGCCCCGGGATACTTTCTACAGTCTGCTATTATCCTAAGAACTAGCCTACACCCTGTGGGATCCCGAGGACAGCCACTAGAGGGGGCACCTGGGCCACAAAGTACAGACTTCACACTACTACTGTGAAAATCTTATTCAGGATGGCTCAACCTCAATTACTTTACCATTTTTTCTTAATGGGACAAAGGTTTCAAGAAGCAAAATGGAACCAATTCAGGAACCAATTCAATGAAGTCTTTTCTGAGACACCAAGTGATTTTAACTTAATTTGGAGGAGTCAAGGCTTTTGTTAGGAGTCAAGGCTTTTGTTAGGAACTGTGCCCCGCTTATTTTTATAGCATACAGTTTGTCATGAGTTTACCCTCATGATGAAATGGCTCCTTTAGAGATTCTTTTATGAAATTCTAATGGTTTTAGAATACTTATTCTTTTACCAAGTTACTCTTAAAATGATACATTTGCCTCTATAATTTCAGTAGATTTAAAAATAGACAACTAGTAAAACTGCCTGTATATGTAAGGTGTGGCACTATGGGTTAATTTACTGGACTGCAAAGTTGGTTTGAATTGTAAGGTCGGCAGTTCAAACCACCAGTCCCTCCTGGGAACCCCTATACAAAGTAGCTATGGGTTAGAACCGACTCCACAGCATGTAACATTAAATTAAATGTAAAATCTTAGATTTTGAAAGACAAACCTGTATCCTGTAACCAAACTACTGTTTTATGAAGGATTCTTCCTCTTCCTGTTAAGTGCCACTGAGTTGGTTCTGACCCACAGCAACCCCATATAGGGTTTCCAAGGCGTAGCTGGTAAGTTTGTTTAACTGCCAACCTTACAGTTTAAACGTCAACCCCGCAGTGCTATACCAAAATGGCACCAAGTAAAAACTTCAAATCTTGAGTCACGCAGCATTTAGGCTGAAAAGAAATATTGACAATCCTGTAACCTCCTCCCCACCCCCAATGTGAAGGGTGCCCATTGTTGCCTGTGCCCCCCTCTGAGAATCCAGGATCCTCTTTATGTCATCGTTCACCCAATTACCACATACTTTTTATACATGTTAGATTCCCGAGAAAGCTAACTACTGGTGAAAATACTTTATCTGACTTTTTCTGTAGATATTAAAGCCTTTCACCTAAACCTGTGCCTACCTACAAAAAGTCAAATTGACATTAAGTTAAAAAAAGAAGAAATATTGTTTTTGAAGAAAGCATATTGCCTAGCATTTAGTAATTTTCCTTTGAAACTGATAATGCATCTTCAGTCCAGTTTCTCTTACCCTACTAACTAGAACCAGGCACGCACATTTAGAAAGATGGTAAGTGTTGTAGAATACAGATGTTCTCGCTTATATACATTGTAACTACCTTTAAAAAAGTAAATTTATACAAGCATGGACATTAGTTTCAATAAACTTTTGTTCTGATGTTCATACTTTTCAATATCTCCCTGCACTAAAGTGTTTTTAAACCTCAGCTGATCTGTGCTATATGGTTACGACATACATTGAGAGGAACAATACCAACAGTCCTCTAAGTGTCTATGTCAAAGTGGCTCGTTTTATTACTTCCAAGGTTTCTTTACAGGTTTCTGTTTACAAACTGTATAAAATGACAAGTTTATACAAGGTTACTTTGAAGTTGTTTTCTTACTTTTGGGTGGTTTCCTTACCTTATTAGGGTTTGGAATTAATTTCTTTATTTTCAGGGGCTGTAACACTACAGCGGAAGCCTGCTCACCTTCAGTCAGCTTCCTCTTTTCCTTCGAGAGGTTTTCAAATGATGTTCCCATTGTCTCACTGTCTTGCCTTTCCAAAGATTCTGTCTCTAGCAAAGATTCTGTCTCTAGATTTCCCCCTGCGTCTTCAGTTATGTCTTGAAGCCATGGGACATTTAAACTGGGCACTCTGGGAATTATAGATCTGACTTCATCCATGAAGGCAGTTGTATTCTTTTTGAACCCCAAGGCAAGGACACACTTTAAGCCAATGACAGGTGCAATTCTCTCACTGAGACGGGGTACCTGGCAAGCAGGCACACTTCTGCTTAAGCTTAAGTGAATCAAGTGCGAGGTGATGATGGCAGGTTTGACTGACTTACACACGAGAACTAAGAGCAGGTTATTTCTTTCCAGGGCTCTGGTCACTTCGTTGACACCAATGGCAAGCTGCTGCCTGGCATGCAAGGAAGTCCACCCTGACACCTGTTGGTTATCATTGGGTTTTTCCTCTTTCCTATCCTCGCTAACACCAACATCTCTGCTACATTTTTCTCTGCTCTGGTTTTTGAAAGAAGGTGGCTTTCTTTTCTTCTTATCCTCAATCTTCTGAAGTCCAAGATGTTTAAATCGGTCTTCAAGGGTCTGTAATATAAAGCGTGTATCCTCTTTCTCCAGAGTACTCCAGCAGACAGTGTACGGGTTGTCCAATGACGTTTTTACGACTAAAGGTCTTGTCTTCCGAACAGACCCCCTCCCTGGTGCTTGAGGAGCTGCTGCCATTTTGAAGTCCTTTGTAGAGAAGTAAAAGGACATGTTAATTAGAAATGCATGTCTTAGGACTTGTACTCATTCTGATTCATGATCAGCCAATACAGCAAGCTTAATTATGTAGGCTCAATTATGAGACATACACGTAAGCTCTCTTATTAAGATGAATTTTATTTCCCCCATTTCCTCATACTGACTTAGTCTTTACTTCATATAGAGGCAATACATGTTCCATGTTTCTACTTACTCATCATTATTCTTTGAATGGCTGTATGGGAGCAATAGTATACATACGTTACTGTTTTCTAAACTGCTCTCTAGTTGAACTTTCATCACTGAATTCAACAGACACTCACTGAGCACCGGTGATGGGCAGGCAGCCCCGTAGGCACAAGGTCAACGGTGAGCAAGCTACACACCATTTGCCCAGACAGGACTCACAATGCGAGGGCCTCAGAGACTTACTGTTAGATGTCAGCAAGTGAACTGCCCATAGGCCTAGGCTTCTCTAGGCCATCCATAATGAACCAGATATGATTGTTTTTTAAAACACAATAACAGCCTGGATATCCACAGATAAATGTAAAAACCTTCCCTAAAAGCCGAGACTGTAAATTCCAAAAAGGCAAAGTTCCCCACCCCACAAGAAAAAAAAATAAAGAGGATAGAGAGAAACACTGTTAACTGACGATGTATGGAGGGGATTATAATCAATGTAATGAAACAAGTCATATGAATGGTTGAATGTGAAACTGATGATGTGCCCTGTAAACTTTAATAAAAACCTGAAAAAAAAAAAAAACCACAGTAACAGGACATCAGTGATACCACAGAATACCAGGCAAAGCAGATTCAAGGCAGAGCTCCAAAACTTGGAACCACAGAGATAGGAATATTTAAAAGGTTTAAAGGCTTATATTCCTAACTAGTGAAACTTGAAGCAAAAGTAAGGAATTGCGTACTTTTGATTCTGCCAGGCACGCGATTCTGCCAGGCACGCGGCCCCAAGCCAACAACTTGAGCAAAACCAAATAGCAAGACCAAGCAGGTAAGCAGACACACCACGGAAAAACACCATGGGAACCTCGGAGCAAAGCTGGACAATACACTTTGTCGGTTTTGCTTTGTTCTCATTTTCTTTTTGTTGGTATCTGTTATTACCCATCCTCCCCGCCCCCACTGTTTGCACACCTCCATTCTGGTGACTAGAGGGGTTGCCTGAGTGAGTGGACACCCCCCACCATCACCACTGGTGGGTTCTTCTGCCATGCAAGAGCTGGCCCTAAACTGGTTTTTTTTTGTTTTGTAAATACAGGAAAGGCCAGGACAGGAGTGTAGAGTTAAAAAACAAAACAGGCCAAAAAATAAGCTGTACCTCAGGATTTAATTTAACAGCCAACAATGGCATCTTGAAATCGCTCAAACAGCTTTGAAGGAAAGAAGCTGAAGAGAAGACATTAAAGTCGTCTTATTAGGCTACAGATTTTTTTAATCCCCTCTTTTCCTCCTCTCCCTTTTCTGTGATTATAGATTACAGTATTCAGTCTAGTTTTGTCTTTTTGTTGTTGCTTTTTTGCTTGTGCTGTTTTGCTGTTGTATGCTCCCCCTTCTACCTTTTTGGGACTCTTTCTCTCCCTATAGTACCCAAAAAGAGACAACAACTACTTCCATATAGTCAAGCTACAACCACCTTCTACAAAATACCAAAACCCAGGCAAGAACCAATACCTACTGCCATATATGAGGGAGGCAGACAACACCTGTGAAAGTTACCCTGAGTTAAGCAATTTTTAGAGTGAAAAGAGAAGCCCACATCCTGATCACATCTACGTGAAAGCAATCAGAAAGCATGAAAAAATACCAAAACACATACTGAATTAAGTATGAAGGCCACAGATAAACACTAAACATGTCTAAGAAGCAAAAGCAGATGACATCATCAGCAAATGTACAGAAACACAATAAAATGTCTGAGACAAATAACCTAGAGATAGGCCTGGACTACATTCTGGAAGGAGGGCAGGCCTTGGAAATACCTGAGAAGGAATTCAGAAAAAATTACTTTAAAAATTACTTTAATTTCTGATAAAATAAACTTTAAGGCAAAAAACAGCATAGTAGATCAAGATGGACATTATCTCATGATTAAAGGGACAACTCAACAAGATGAAATAACCATAATAAATATCTATACTCCCAATTTAAGAGCTCCAAAATATATAATGCAAACTCCAATAGATTTGAAAAAAGAAATAGATGAATCTACAGTAATAGTGGGTGATTTTAATACACCACTTTCAAAAATAGATAGAACTACCAGAAAGAAACTTGACAAAGACACAAAAGAATTAAACAACACAATCAGCCAACTGGACCTCATAGATGTGTACAGAGCATTCAACCCAACAACTGCACAATACACATTCTTTTCCAGCGCACATGGAACATTCTCCAGAATAGCCCAAGTCTTAGGCCACAAAACAAATCTTCATAAACTTAAAATTATCAAAATACTACAAAGCATCTTCTCAGACCACAACACTATCAAATTAGAAATCAACAATAGAAAGTGCCAAGAAATAAAGTGAAATGCATGGAAACTGAATAAGACCCTGCTGAAAAGCGACTGGGTAATAGAAGAAATTAAACGTGAATTCACAAAGTTCCTAGAAACAAATGAGAAAGAAAACACAACATACCAAAATCTTTGGGACACGGCAAAAGTGATGCTGAGAGGACCAGAGGGAATCTACAGCTACCAAAAGAAAAGAAATAATAAAGATTAGAGCAGAAATAAGATAGAAAAGCTATAGAAAGAATCAACAGGACAAGAAACTGGTTCTTTGAAAGGGTTAACAAAATAGACCAATGGCAAACCTAACAAAAGAAAAGAGGGAGAAGACACAAATAACACTCATTGGAAACAACATGGGTGATGTCACATCGGAACCAAAGGAAATCACTTCAACAAGGAGGAGATCCAGGCAGCCAACAAACATATGAAGAAATATTCACGATTCCTAACCATCAGAGAGATGCAAATCAAAACAACAATGAGATATTATCTTACACCAACAGCAGCAAAGATCAAAAAATAGAGGACAATAAATGCTGGCAAGGATGTGGAGAGCCTGGGACGCTCCTGCATTGCTGGTAGGACAGCAAAATGGTCCAACCTCTCTGGAAAGCAATATGGTACTTCCTCAGCAGGTTGGAAATAGAAATACCTTATGATCCAGCAATTTCCTCTACTTGGTATTTACCCACAATTAATACAAGCCATAACACGAGTAGATATATGCACACCAGTGTTCATAGCAGCAAAAAGATGGAGACAGCCAAAGTGCCCATCAACTGAAGAATGGATAAACAAACTTGGTACATACACACAATGGAATATTATGCTACCTTGAAGAATAACAAGGAGGCTGCAAGGCACCACATAACATGGATGAACCTTGAGGACATTATTTTGAGTGAAATTAGTCAGTCACAAAAGGAGAAATACTGCATAGGACCACTACTGTAAAAGACTAAGAAAAAGAACCCATACTAAAGGGGGAAGGGGCTCTTTGCTGGCTACTGGGATATGTGGGGGGAGGGGGGGTGAAGGGAGAGAGGGGAAGGTAGAGCACAAGGTAGGGAATACATGCAGGATAGTCTGGGTGCTAGGGAGGGGGAGGAATGAAAAAACAAAGCAGATGGGAGAACAATTAGGCAGGTTTGAATGGGCTAAGTAGGACAGAGGTAAATAATGATGTATGCACAACCTTGGAACAACTGGGCTCTGGGATACAGGGATTGAGACATGGCTGGAATGGGAAAAAGGGGAGAAATAATGTTGAGATGCTTGGCTGTCTTATGAATCTTGGTTTCCCTGGCATACCATTATAAAATAGACACTTGAGGGGGAAAGAAAGAATAGCTAGAAATATCACCGTTGAAAACTTAGAAGTCCATCTTCTGCCTATTAACTGATTGGAATATCTAAAATGGGACTACAACATGCCCAGTGAAGGAGGCTTCCTGCAGAGCCTTTGCATTACGTAAGAGCATACATAGGTGGAATCCTGAACCCCGTCCAGAATCTTCTGAGGTGGGAAATTTCCACTTGAAAGAACAAACAGACCAGCCTGGAGCAGCTAGTATATCAGAAGATTACTTCTTCAAAGAAAAACCGACAGGAAAAATACAAAACAATATAGGCAGACCGACTGATTACTGTAAGAACAAACAAGTTGCTTGCCAGGAGACATCAAGGCAAGTGGTCGGGTCCCCTCAGAGCAAACCCTCTTCCAAGACTAAGACTCAGTGGGAATACACGCTCTGATTGGTGACCACGTTCGTCACCAATAAGGGGAAGTGGGGAAAAACAGCAATGAAGCTGCAAGCTAAGCCCTACAACATTCAAAAGATTCCCGTGAAACCTGGTGGAGACCTGGTTGGCCAGCAGTGTGGCAAGACCTGGGGACTCTTGGGCCCAGAGTCAGTGACATAGCCATGGAGGACTGGAGTGGATTGTGAAGTGTCCAGTGGATAAGAAGAGAGGGCATATCCACAAGAGCATCCACACTTGCAGATTATAATACCCATTTGACCTGGCCTCAATAACTGGATGATCAGAGCTCAACTAGAAGAAACAAGAGGAAAAAAAGAGAAATCTTATACAATTTGATGAACTTGACCTACACCTGTGGATGCAGTAGCTCAAAAGAGGGAACAAATCTTTACAGCAATGATCACTCCCAATCCCTCTATACACAGAGTAGACAAGTATGGGCAACATTGACTACCCAAAATGGGGGGGCTACAAGCTCTCAAGAGGGAATCTAGGTCCAGAGGGCATGAAGGTAGAATCTCCACTGAGTAGTATCCAATCTGTCTAGGCGGGACTGATGAAAGGAAATGCGCATAGCTCGCTTGTGATATAATAGTGAATAATTGTTATCAGGACTGATTGTGAGGGTTGGAAATGTAGACATTTTGTAGCAAGGAGGGGAGTAATTAACTTT